TGACAGCTCTTTGGATCTCATCTTGAGAGTTGACAGCAACAGATTCCAAATGCAAATAGCACACTTGAAATGAACTCTGGACCTTTTATCTGCTCATTGTAATTGGGATGAGGGAATAACACACACCTGGCCATGGAACAGCTGAGAAGCCAATTGTCCCATTACTTTTGGTCCCTTAACAAGTGGGAGGCACATATGCAAACTGTTGTAATTCCTACACCGTTCACCTGATTTGGATGTAAATACCCTCAAATTAAAGCTGACAGTCTGCAGTTAAAGCACATCTTGTTCGTTTCATTTCAAATCCATTGTGGTGGTGTATAGAGCCAAAAATGTTAGAATTGTGTCGATGTCCCAATATTTATGGACCTGACTGTATATATATATATAGTTATATATATACACACACACACACTACAGTATATCCCTGGTCTAAACCAAAATGGCCAAATGAAAGTGTCATTCCTAGAGCTACACTGCTGCTGTGGCCTAAAACACAATGTCAATACATGGTAGAAGATGTGACAGGAGCCATTGACACAATAACCTCTATTAACCACTACATTTTATTTAGAAGGAGATATTTCAGGTTGTCCCAGTTCCCTTCAATATGGCCAAAGGAGCATTTAATGACCTTTGGAGGAACTGCAGCTCAGAGCACCTCCATACTGGCTTTAACATGTAAGCAAGGTGCCTTTAACACTAAACCCCAGAAAGTTATAAACAAGCCGCAGCAAGTTGAGGCCATCCCATAAATCCCAAAAAGTTAAACTACATGTGATGTGAAAGGACATACACCACAGTTAACCCCAATTATTAGGGCTGTCACTTTTCATTTGAATTTCAAACAGTAAGCTAGTAACATTATGTTTGTGGCGAGATTCCCTGCCTTCTCCTGTGATCGGACAACCTCAGAGAATCTCAGAAACAGTGTTCGACAGTAATTTGGGTTCTACACTGTAGAAAATTATCAACAAAGATAAAACCCTTTGCCAATTCTGTATAAACGAAGATGCCCTACTCAAGTACTACAACACATCTGAGGACCCACCTGATCAGTTTGACATTTATAGTCAGCCATGGTCTGAGTCTGACTTTTTATTTTGCCACAACCAAAACACCCTAACCACAACCTTAACAGACTTTATTCAAAATATTCAACTAAACAAAAAAATACAAGTTCAGTCAGGCAGATGGGGCTTGTGGGTGGGCCCCTTTGTAACCATGGGCCTGGGACCACCACACCCTCTGCCCCCTCGCTTGCTCCGCTACAGGTGAAGTGAACCATTATTCAAAGTAACAACACCTGAGCCCATGACTGTACATGCAATAAAACCTCTGCGAGTAAAAGGCCAAAAAGATTAATCTATCAAAATACCTGCTAAACAAGCATAAACTTGCAAATAAGTGATAATTTCAGCTTTGCCTGCAGTCTTCATTCACCGTGTCAGGGTTGCTCGACGCTCCCTGTCTCTCTTTTCCTTTTTCTCCCTCTCCTGCATTCTTTACTCAGGTCCTGGGAAAGGAGTGTGTCACAGCTGTGGCAGATTTTCTGATGAGAGCTGCACTACTTAAGACTCATTCAGACACCACTTCAGTGCCAGTTTGTTACAACCTGGAGCTCAGTGATTCCATCGCAGACAGCGCAATCTAAGTACTGGGCTTCCAGGTGTACGGAGCGGATCAGGGAATGGAGCTGTCTGGGAAAACAAGAGGAGGGGGAATCTGTCTCTACATAAATGAAGGTTGGTGCACAAATGTCATGGTGCTACAGAGGGTGTGTAACACCAACTGTAGCACGAGCTTAGAGTCTCTATCAACTGCAAACCTTTTTATTCTCCTCAAGAATTTAATTCTTTCATTCTAATTGGAGTGTACATAAGACCACAGGCCTACGCTGGCGCACTACAGCTCCTGGCCAAACAGATAACTAGTGGGGAGCTAAAACATTCCATCTCCCCACTTATTGTTCTAGGGGACTTTAGCAGAGTAAATCTCAAGAACTGCCCAAATACAGAGAGCACATCACCTGTCCGGCCGGGGACAAAATCATACTGGACCACTGCTACACAACAATAAAAGATGCCTATTGCTGCATGGTCCACCTTATTCCAACCTACAGGCAGAAACTTAAACCTGAAACTTAAAGCCTGTGGTCAAAACAGTGAAGAGCTGGACTGAGGAGGCTAAGTCAGAACTACAGACCTGCTTTGACTTCAGAGATTGGAGTGCATTTGAGGCTGCAGCTACAGACCTGGATGAACTCACTGACACTGTG